TGACCACTTTGGTCATCTGGTAAGTAGAAGAGGGGAAAAGCCACCAATGAAGATACAGGCTGAGTTTGGCTGCATTCCATAAACTCTCATCAACATGGAGATAAGAGAGAGAAGAGGAAGGGCTGGTTGGTCTGAAGTGTGGTGAGACTTGGGAACTCCTGAGCCCAAGGACAAGGTGACAGCCATGGATGGCTAAAGCTCAGAGCAAAGAGTCCAGCTGATATGAACTGAAGGGAGACAAGAAGGCCCAAATTTATAGATAGTACTCATTCTACCTAGCCTCAATGGCTTGATGACCAGATCTCAACTACAGGAAGTGTCGGGGACCCGCCTCGACATTGGGGTTCAGTTCTGATAAAGGAAACAAATGTAAATTGCTACAATATGATGACCTTGACCTATACTTATGGATACAGTAGTAGAAAACTACCAAATGAGAGGGAATATGTCTTCACATCAAGTATGAATCCTATCCCCTATTAATACAGAGTTGACAGGGACAGGCAACTTAGACATTGGCTATCTAAAAAGGGGGGGCGGAGGAGCTATAAAGGCATGGAGTGACTAGCTTACAAAAATTCAAGAGGGAGTTTATTTTCAGATTGTTGGGGGAAAGGTAGAATCCCCATTGATTATTTTTCATCTTGTCTAGATAGGTAGATAAGATTCTTACGATTCAATAGTGAATAATATTTATCATGACTAATTTTGACTGTAACAACTGTAAAAGATGTTTTGTAACAAAAAGGGGGAGGAGTTAAACTTATGTTGTTGTTGTTAGGTGCCATCAAGTCAGTACCGACCTATAGCGACCTAATGTACAGCAGAATGAAACACTGCCCAATCCTGGGCCAATCTCACTACTGTTGCCATGCTTGAGGCCATCAATGCTGGGGTCTTCCTCTTTTTCTCTGACCCTCCATCTTACCAAACATGATCTCCTTCTGTAGCTGGTCCGTTCGGACAATATGGCCAAATTATGAAAGACAAAGTTTGGCCATCTTGGCCTGCAAGGAGCACTCTGGCTGCACTTCTTCCAAAATGGATCTATTGGTTCTTTTGGCAGCCCATGGCACTTTCAGTATTTTCCTCAAACACCATAACTCAAAAGCATCAATTCTTCTACAGTCTTCCTTATTCACTGTCCAGCTTTTGCATGCATATGAGGTTATTGAAAATATCATGGCTTGGGTCAGGCGCACCTTAGTCCTCAAGCTGACATCTTTGCTCTTCAACACTTTAATGTAATATGTCGTTTGCTTTCTTGACTGCTGCTTCCGTGAGTGTTGTTAGTTGATCCAAGAAGAATGAAGTTCTTGACAACTTCAATTATTTCTCCATTGATAAGAATGTTGTTTATTGGTCCAGTGGTGAGCATTTTTCTTTTCTGGACATTGAGATGTAATCCATACTGAAGGCTGCATTCTTTGATCTTCATCAGTAACTGTTTTAAGTTCTCTTCATTTTCAGTAAGCAAGGCTGTATCATCTGCATATCGCAGGTTGTTAGTGAGTTGTCCTCAAATCCTGATGCCATGTTTTTCTTCATAGAAAAGATTATTTGTTCAGCATACAGGTTGAATAAGTATGGTGAAAAAAATACAACCTTGTCGTACACCTCTCTTACTTTTAAATCATTCAGTGCTCCTATGTTCTGTTCAAACAACTGCTTCTTGGTCCAGGTACAGATTCCTCATGAGCACAATTAATACTCATATGGAATACTCATACTTTGCAATGTTGTCCACAGCTTGTCAGGATCCACACAATCAAAAGTCTTTGCATAGTCAATAAAGCACAGGTAAACATCTTTCTGATATTCTCTGCTTTCAGGCAAGATCCATCAGACATCTGCAATGATATCTCTCATTTCACAGCCTCTTCTGAATCCAATTTAAACCTCTGGAAATTCTCTGTCAATGTATGGTTGTAGCCGTTTCTGTATTATGTTTAGAAAGACTTTACTCACATGGAATAACAAGGAGATTGTCCGATGATTTCCGATTCTGTTGGGTCACCTCTCTTTGGAATGGGCACAAATACGGATCTCTTCCAATCAGTCAGCCAGATAGTTTCTTCCCAATTTCTTGGCAGAATAAGTGAGTGCCTCCATTGTCGCCTCTCTTTCTTGAAAGATTTCAAATTGTATTCCATAAATTCTTGGTGCCTCATTCTTTCCCAATTCCTTCAATGCACCTTGGACTTCCTCCTTCAGTATTATTGGCTCTTGATCATAAGCTACCTACTGAAACTGTTGAACATTAATCATTTCCTTTTGGTACAGTGACTCTGTATATTCCTTCCATCTTCTCTTGATGCTTTCTGCATCATTCAATAATTTGCCTAGAGATTCTTTCAACAACGGAAGTTGAGGTTTGCATTATTTCTTCAGTTCCCCCAGCTTGAGAAATGCTGAGAGTGTTCTTCTTTTTTGGTTTTCTGATTCCAGATCTTTGCACATTTTGTTGTAATATTTGGCATTATCTTCTCGAGCTGATCTTTGAAATTTTCTGTTCAGCACTTGTACCTCCTCATTTCTTCCATTTGCTTTAGCATCTCTATGCTGACGAGCAAGTTTCAGTGTCTCTTCTGACATCCATTTTGACCTTTCCCTTCTTTCTTGTCTTCTCAATGACTTTTTGCTTTCTTCAGGTATGATGTCTTTGATGTCATCCCACAACTCTTCTGGTCTTCTGTCTTTACTGTTTAATGTATCAAATCTGTTCTTCAGATGATCTCTAAATTTAGGTGAGATATATTCAAGGTCATATTTTGGCTTTTGTGGACTTGTTTTCATTTTCTTCAGCTGCAGTTTGAAATTGCAAAAGAGCAATTGATGGTCTGTTCCACAGTTTGCCCCTGGTCTTTTTTTCAATGATGATATGGAGTTTTCCATCTTCGCATTCCGCAGTTGTAGTCTATTTGATTTCTATGTATTCCATCTGGTGAGGTCCTTGTGTATAGTCGTCTCTCATGCTGTCTAAGGAAGTTATTTGAAATGAACAAATCACTGGTTTTGCAGAATTCTATCATGCATTCTCCAACATCATTTCTATCACCAAGACCATATTTCCCTTCCTCTTTGCTCCCAATCTTTGCATTCCAATCACCAGTAATGATCAATACATCATGACTGTACGTTTGATCAATTTCAGATTGAAGAAGTTGATAGAATTCTATTTAATCTTCATTGGCTTTAGTGGTTAGTGTGTAAATTTGAATAATAGTGGTATTAACTGGTCTTCCCTGTAGGCGCATGGATATTATCCTATCACAGACAGTATGTGCCTCATGACTGATCTGGATATGTTCTTTTAGACAATGAATGCAACACCATTCTTCTTCAATTTGTCATTCCTGGCATAGTAAACCATGTGACTGTCAGATTCAAATTGGCCAATACCAGTCCATTTCAGCTCACTAACACCTAAGATACTGATGTTTATGCATTCCATTTCATTTTTGACAACTCCCAATTTTCCCAGATTCATCTGTCAGTTTGTCACACTGTGGTGGTTTATGAGTTGCTGTGATTTTGAAAGCTATGCTACAGTATTTTAAATATCAGCAGGGTTACCCAGGGTGGACAGATTTAAGATGAGCTTCCAGAGGAAGACAGACTAGGAAGAAAGAGTGACGAACTACTTCCGAATATTTAGTCATTGAAAACCTTATGAATAGCAGAGAAACACTGTCAGATAAAGTGCCGGAAAGTGATCCCCTCAAGTTTGAAGGCACTCAAAAAGCGACTGTGAAAGAGCTGCATCCTCATAGTGATGATGCAAATGGAATAAAGTTCGTGGAAGAAAAGTCCACAGGATCTTCATTTGCTGATGGTGCACAACTCAAAATGAAGAGAAACAGCTGTAAACATCCTTTGAAAATCAGAACATAGAATGCACAAAGTCTGAAACTGGGAATTTGAATCTGGGAAATTTAAACTTAAAGTCCAGGAAAAGAGGACTCTAGGACCATCAAGAAAAAAGAGCATGTGTGGAATGTGGTACCCTATCCAGAGAAGCAGTGACACTAGAGATGGAGGCAGAGATGAGGACATGGAGAGATAAAGCAGTTGAAGACTCTAGACGCATGGAAAGAGAAAGGTTATGTGCTGGCATCCAGGAGGCAGGCTTGAAGAATGTGACCTTTGGTCGTTTAAATGATAATATATTCCTGAGTGTTTTTATGTACACCCCCCCCCAAAAAAAAAAAACCCAAACAAACAAAAATCAGAGGGAATAGAAGCAAATACTGTTGAAAGGTGATGCACGAAGGAGACTGAAATCATTGCAGTGAAATGATGAATGTAAAACTGATGTTATGCCATGTAAACTATCACTCAATTCACAATAAAAACTTAGCAAAAAGAAAAAAGAACCACTAAATTCACAATAAAAACTTATTATTATTATTTTTTTTAAATCATTCTTTCCAAAGGTCCTCTGATCCACAGCATAGCCCAGTAAAGTCCAGGTGTACTTTGCTAATGCGTTACCCATGGACATCCATATCTTAAAAAGAGTCAGAAAATACAAATATGACTTAAAAAAAAAAAAAAAAGTAGTTTGGGAAAATGCATAGAGCCTTTAGAGAATGATTTACTTTGTGTTTTTGTTTGTTTGTTTTCCATACTCATTAGAGATTTCTGTAGCCTAATATTGATATTGTTGCTGTGGTTGCTGAGCACCATCAGGTTGGTTCTGACTCATAGCACCCTGTATCAGGATTCCAAGGAACTCTTGGTGGGTTTAATCTGCCAACCTTGTGATTAACAGTCTAGCATTTATCGTACATTGCCACGTCAGATAATTATCACAAGGTAGACGCAGAGGTGAGGAAAGTATTGTAAAAGGCATAAAAAATTTTGCCTACAGTGCTCAAAATTAATTTTTCAGTAAGACAAACTTATCTTAAATATTAACAGTTTTCACTCCAATATTATTTCTTAGCAAAATATCAGCAAACACAAAAGTATATCAATAAGACAAAATTATACATAACCTGTAAGCCCCACAAAGGTAGACTTCTGTTCACCCAAAAGATATGAGACCTATGAAAAGAATAATAATATTTTAGTTTTAAAAGTTTTGAAAAAGGCATTAATTTCAAAAATTAAAATGTCAAATATTTAAATGATGCTAGCATACACATGCAAAACAAATTAAAATTAGAAAAACATTTTGCTGCAGTTTCTTTTCAGCTGATATTGAGTTATATGTATGAAAAAATTATTATATTTCATCTTTCATGGTAACAATGTATGTAAAGATATGCAATAATAAATAAACCTTGCTATCAAGTTGATCCCAACTCTGTGACCCTAGATACACATAGGCTTTTCAAGACTTTGACCTTTCTGAAACAGATCAGCAATGCTTCTCTGAGTGGATCTGAACAATATTTTTATGATAAGTTAAGCATTTAAACAATTTATAATGGAACTTTTTTTTAAAATGATTATTTTTGTTGTTGTTGCGAGTCATTGAGTCAGTTCTGACTCATATTGATCCTGACTAGGGTTTCTGAAGTACATCTAGTGGGTTTGAACTATCACCCTTTGGTTAACAGTCCAGTGTTTATCCTACAAACTCATCATTAGTCAAGTCTTTATCAAGTAGTCATTTAAAGGTCTACTATAAATTCTAACACATATGGGATTGTCATGAATCAGGAATAACTGGTTTCAATTGGTAAAATGTCTGATTTTTGTTCATTTTAAAGCTGAGAATATTTAGGCGATATAAAGGCAGCGTTATAAATAATTGCAACAAAGCCAGTAATTCAGATTATATACTATTTTAGATTTGGATTTTTATAAAATACTTATCATAGAAACAAAATGGGATTAATACAAAAAATTATGAAGAGCAAAGAGTGAGTGACCTTAAATGTCCTTTAAAAATATATCATACAGGGGAGGGAGGAGAGGTAGAGCACAGGGTAGGTAACAGACACAGAATAGTTTGGGTGCTAGGCAGATGCACAATATACAAAAAGGGTGGGGATGGAAGAACAAGGTGGATGGGAAAACACTTAGGCAGGTTTGCATGGGCTAAATGGGACAGAGGTAAATAATGATGTATGCATTATTGGAACAACAGGGCTATGGGATATAGGGATTGAGACATGGTTGGAATGGGCAAAAGGGGGAAAATAATGTTAAGATGCTTGGCTGTCTTTTGAATCTTGGTTTCCCTTGCATACCATTAGAAAATAGACACTGGAGGGGGAAAGACAGAAATAGCCAGAAATATTACCATAGAAAATGTGCAAGTCCATTTTCTGCCTATTTCTGATTGGAATACCAAAAATGGGGCTACAACTTTCCCAATGAAGGAGGCTTCCTGCAGAGCCTCTGCATTACGTAAGACTATCCAGAATCTTCTGAGGTTGGAAATTTCCACTGGAAAGGACAAGCAGACCAGCTTAGAGCAGCTAGAAGAACAGTAGATACTTCTTGAAAGAAAGACCAACAGGAAAAAATAAATAAATAACTAATGGCAGTACTACAAGAACAAGCAAGTTGATCGCCCAGGAGACATGAAGCCAAGTGGTCGGGTCCTCTCAGGGCAAAGCCCCTTCCAAGACTAAAACTCAATGGGAATACACAAGCAGACATGTACTCTGATTGCTGACCACGTTCATCACCAATAAGGGGAAGTGAAGGAAAAACAGCAATGAAGTTGCAAGCTAAGCCCTACAACACTCAATAGACTCCTGTGAACCCGGGTGGAGCCCTGGTTGGCCAGCAGTGTAGCAAGACCTGGGGACTCTTGGGACCAGAGTCAGTGACATAGCCACAGAGAACTAGAGTGGAGAATGAAATGTCCAGGTGACAATAAGAAAGCGTATATGCACAAGAAGACCCACACTTGCAGATAATACCCACTTGACCTGGCCTCAATGACTGGATCAGAGCTCAACTAGAAGAAGAAAGAATAGGAAAAAAAAAAAAAAGAGTAATCTGATACAATTTGATGAACTTGACCTACACCTATGGATGTAGTAGCTCAAAAGACGGAACAAATCTTTACAGTGAGGATCATTCCCACCCCCTCTATACACAGAGTTGACAGGGATGGGCAACTTGGACATTAGCTACCCAAAATGGGGGGGGGGGGCCTACAAAGGCAAGAAGTGACTGGCTTACAAGCTGTCAAGAGGGAACCTAGATCCAGAGGGTGCGGAGGAAGGCAGAATCCACTGAGTAGTATACAATCTGTCTGGGCGGAGCTGATGAAAGGAGATGGGGATAGGTCTCTTGCACAAAGAATAAAGAAAAATTAAAGAGAAAAAATAAATAGTATCAGTGAAGCTGGGCCGCTCTAGCTGGAGGCTTCGGTGCGGGGTGAATGCGCATGGACCCAGCACTGGCCTAGAAGCACTATGCGCCCACCCAGCTCGGGCAACCCACCACGCAAGCACCACCCTAGAGCCAAGATCAGAACCACAAGATGGCTGTCCAGGACCATGGGGGCATTAGCCCTCTCCAGCAAATGTTGGCTTCAGGGGCTGGAGCTGTGGTTACTTTCATGACACCCCTGAACATGGTGAAGGTGTGCTCCCGCGCCTCTCAGTGGCTTGTGAAATGATGCCTCCTTCAAGACTCTGGCACATCTTGTACACCAAATTGCCCTCCTATCTCTAACCCACAGGGAAATGCCTCCTGTACTGCAATGGGATCCTAGAGCTCCTCTACCTGTGCCCAAACAATGCCTGCTGTGCCACCTAGTTTCAGGATCCCACCGGCTTCATTGGCACTATGGATGCCTTTGTGAAGATTGTACAACATGAGGGCACCAGGATCCTGTGGAGCGGCCTCCCAGCCACCCTGGTGATGACTGTGCCAGCCACTGCCATTCACTTCACTGCCTATGACCAGCTCAAGGCATTCCTGTGTGGTCGAGCCTTGACCTCTGACCTCTATGCATCCATCGTGGCTGGCCCTCTTGTTTGCTTGGGCACTGTGACTGTGGCCTGCACGCTGGAACTGGTGTGCAAGCTTAGCATGTGTCCTACACCCCTTGAGCTGGGAATCTCTGTGCCACAGGGGCTACGGGCAGCCGGCAATCCCTGTGGATGGGCTGGGAGCCAACTGCCCCTCGGGATGTTCCTTTCTCCACCCTCTATTGGTTCAACTACAAGTTAGCAAAGAGTTGGCAGAGTGGACCCAGACCAAAGGATAGGACTTGGTGGGCATCAGCTTTGAGGCTGATGGTATCTCAGCGATGGTGGTGGCCACCCTGAATCTGCCTTTCCACGTGGTGAAGACTCAGTGTCAGGTTGCACTGGGAGCAATGGAGACTATGAGAATGAGACCCCCATGTGTCCACTCCACCTGGCTGCTGCTGAGGAGGATCCTGGCTGAATCAGGCACTAGGGGACTCCACAATTTCCTCAGAGGACCATCAAGGCTGCCCCCTCCTGTGCCATTGTGATCAGCACCTATGAGTTCCGCAAAAGCTTCTTTCAGAAGCTCAACCAGGAACAACTATGGGGCCCTTGAAAGAGGCCAGGAGCTGAGGACCCCCATCTCTTCCAGGGATGGGGCATAGGGGCAGAGGAGACTAAGCTAAGTGACTTTTCCTCAGCAGTGAGGAGCGGGGCCCCACATCACTTCCCACCTTGGGGCTTTCAGGACCTCCGGATATGGCTCTTCCTGCTGGCTCCCCACCCTGAGACTCAAGCATTCTCACTACCACCACCACCACCACCCTCCCACCCCCACCCCACCCCTGCAAGCTGAAGACCAAATCTGCTGCCTGCTCAGTGCCTTTTCCTCAGCATCAAGGAATGGGGCCCTGTATCCCTTCCCACCTAAGGGCCCTCAGGACCCTGGATGTGGCTCCTACTGCTGCTCCTCATCCCGAGACTCAAGCCTTCTCACTTCCCCACCCCCAAGTTCAAGACCAAATGTGCTGCCTGCTGACACTCTTATTTCCACGTATGTTTGCTGTAACTGGGCCTGGCTCCAGGAGTCAAAACCCCTGGGTCTGCCTCAGTCTCCCCTACCTCCATTAATTACTAATGTCTAAAGTTGATGAACTTAAAATAATATCATCACTAGAGTTGGAAACTGCTTATACTATACAAAGAGCATCATAATTCTTTTAATTTCCCACTAGTTACCATTTTGATTATTTAAATTCTTACTTATATCACTTACTTTAGAATTTATTCAAATGTCAATCACTCAAGTAATATACCCTACTTGGTAAAACATAAAAATAACTACACTGCGTAGGCAAAATAATATAAACTGCAAATCCAAAAAAAAAAAAAAAAAATCAAACAAATTAAAATCATTTTTCTCTTTACAGCTATGAAATATTCCTGAAGGAGTGTGCAGGGCAGTGAATTATTTAATATGTCAATTCTAGCCATGGCTTTCTAACTCCTGCCAAAGAACTTTTTCCTGATGAGTTTGAGTAGGAGAAGGTGGGAAGTGATGCTGATGGATTATGATTCAGTTGTGATTGACTGTTAAACGGATTAACTGTGAAAACTTGGAATTCTAACACTGCTATCAAATGAGCTATCTCAGAAGTGGGAAACAGAGCTCGCTACCAACAAGTAAGATCCAGGAAGAGAGCATATCAGTTGGAAACCTGAGACCCCTGACTAATTAAAATCTTCAGTTGTTCCAAACTAAATGTGCAATGTTTCTCCAGATAATTGATCCTCCTTCACTTCTCACATTTCAGTAAATGGCACCAAATTCCATTATATGCTATGCCAATACTTAGTTGTCATTTTAGTTAATTTCCTCTCCTGGGTCTATTAATCCTTAATCCATTAGTCACCAAACAATCCCAAAATTTCCCATCTCATAGATCGAAAATTAACTCACTTTTTCTCATCCCCACCATCACAACTACCTTGATCTACTATTTGTCAGAATTGGTTCTTACCACATTCTGCAGATGGAGACCCTAAATCTACTTTTGACTTCTGAAATATTTCTCCAAATTGCAACTACAATAATTCTTTCAAAATGCAATTTAGATCACATCATCCAACCACTTAGTGGTTTCACACTTTTATTAGAAT